TTACCATTTTCCATGGTCCAAGTAACGTTGGGATCAGGTTTACCACTTGCGTTACAAAATAAAGTTACATCGGATCCTTCACTGTTAATCTGATTGCCACTATCACTGGTTATACTGGTTTCAACTGCAAAGAATGTAGCAAAGAGTCAACGTATACATGTATCACACATGCACTCATAGACGTACAAGCTGGGGGCGAGCTGGGCTACAGGCCCCCTAACTGCGGAAATTATGTAATTTTTTCAGTCAAAACGCCCATGATTCGGGCAACGACACATTAGAAAAGAATGCTATTGGTGTAATTTTCAAAACTCGTAAATATTATGTACTTATTGACTGAGTGGGAGGGCCGGACGGGAAAATATTTGGCTCGAGTTCAGTACGTACGGACCGAGCGCAGCGAGCGGAAAAACTACAGAAAATATTCCACAAGGAAAACTCAGTGTCGTTTATTTCTTCGCGTCGAACAAGAAACCCACAATTCATCGAAAAACACGACTCATTTTCTCATATTTGTTTTTCAATGTAAGTCTATAATTACAATTCATGCTAAAAGGCCAACAGAAAGTTGACATAAAGCTGTCAAAATAGGTCAAAACCATCAAAAACCTAGCGAGTGACAAAAGTTCGCCTCACGCTTCACTGAAATTGTTCACAAATCTTCTTCATCTGAAGACTTAAGAAAATGTCGGCGTCGTTTAATTTCAAGCTATTTGTCTAGCTCTTGGATTCTCTTGAACAAGGAAGAACCAGCATCTAAATATTAATATTATTCCGAAGGTTAATTATCGGACAATTCATTCGGAAAAGTTGTTTTCTTGACCGCCTGTTTGCTTGTTGTTGGCTTCTGAGAAAGTTGTGAACTTCTTCAGTTGTGAGGACTGTTGACTTTCTTTCTGTGCTTTCGGAGTGAGTTGGCGACTGAAGTAGTTCTGCATCGGACAGTTCGCCTGGATAGTAACCTTCGCTCTCAGAATGTTCACTTTCAACTCTCATTTTGAAAGGAACAAAATTTTGCAGCGACAAAATTGTTTCGTCATTAACTCGCATCAAGTTTCTAGTAGGACCGTACGCATTTCTAATAGGGCCGTACGTGTTTTTCCGGCGCTATCACTTCGACACGTACGGCCCTCACACGGGACCTTTTTTCTTATGGTTTTCCAAGGAAATTGCGTGCGTGGCCGTACGGGTCATATGACAAATAAAGTTTCTACTTACTTACTTTTCATGAATCTCTGGGTGATAAGACGCCTGACCAGGACTCTTTAGATTGTCAAGTGGTTTCTTCAGAGAGTTACCCCTGCGAAATAAATTCCCAGTAGTCTGGGAATTCCTAGGAATTCCTAGGAATTCTTAGGAATTC